TGGCCTTCCTTCTAATGGGTGGAGCTTCAGTGTTGTATCTAGTCATCCGCTGGTCTAGATGGAAAATATATGTCAACCATCTACTATCTCTACACACAGAATCATTAGCAGTAACAGATGATTTGTCAGCTGATGAGGGGTCTCTGGAGAAGGGAATAGCAACCCACTCCAGTATTCTTGCCTGGAGAATCCCATGGACAGAGGAACCTGTCAGGCTACAGTCCATGGGGTCACAAAGAGTCAGACACTAAGCGACTAACATTACTGGAAGGAGAAACATTGGCAGGTCATTGTTCAAGGAGGTCTCATGTGGGGTGTGTGGATGGACCTATGACCATAGGCAGAAATGAAGATGTCTCTGCTCATGTCAGTACTCCCAGAAAGCCTCTGCCTTGAAAGGAAGAGGCTCTAAATGACCACATCTTTTCAACCACTCACTTTCCATTTATTTAAATTTATTGTTCTCGAAGGTATACCCCTAGTGGCTCAGATGGTAAAGAATCTGCCTGCAATGTAGGAGACCTGGGTTTGATCCCTGAGTTGGGAAGATTCCCTTGAGAAGGGAATGGCAACCCACTCTGGTATTCCTGCCTGAAGAATGCCATGGACAGAGGAGCCTGGTGGGCTATAGTCCATGGAGTCGAAAAAGTGTTGGACATGACTGAGTGACTAATACATACAATGTGTACCCAGGGCTTCCCTGGTGGCTTAGTGGTAAAGAATCTGCCTGCCAATTCAGGAGACTTGGATTTGATCCCTGGGTCTGGAAGTTTCCCTAGAGAAGGAAATGGCAAGCCACTCCAGTATTCTTGCCTGGAGAATCCCACGGACAGAGGAACCTGGCTGGCTAGAGTCCATGGGATGGCCAGAGAGTCAGACCCGACTTAGAGACTGGACAACCAGGAGAATATATGCCCCAGACACTTTCTGTTTTGGTTTAAGACACCAATGACCATAAGTAGCTTCCATTTAAGAGGGGCACATTCATGTCAATTTGCTTCATTTTATCCAGGCAACAGTTCTGGGGACTAGGAGTGACAGAAAGGAGTTATTCCTTTTAGAGATGGAGAAAAGTGAGGTCAGAGATGGTAAATGCCCTAGTCAGGGTCACCGAAGGGGCTGGTGAGGGTCGATTCTGGTTTCCAGACTGGTTCTGTCTGTGGCTCCTTGGGCAGTTGAGTGGAGGGAAATCAGAGCCCAGTCACCAGCAGGCGGCGCCTGACTCTGGTTTGTCTGAGTCCGGCCGCGGGACCGCCCAGAGCAGGCTTCTGCAGCCAGCCCGCCTGCGTGCCGACCTGCGAGGGACGAGTGGACTCAGTTCCCCAGCGCCCCTCCTCTCACCGACCCTGCGCCCAGCACTCACACTCTAGAGCTGCTCCACTGTCTGAGCTCACGCCTCAGGGGTCACTGCAGGCCCGAGGTGCCGCCCAGTCCCCAGCAAGAACCGGACAAGGGTCAGCACCCATAAATGCAGGTCATCAATTTCCAACCTTAGTGCTAATAATAGCCTTTCCCTTCCTGCCACACTACAAATGAGCTTGCTTGGGAGGTTTATCTTTGTGGCATGGTTATTGATTCTTTTATTTTTTTCTTTCAAATCTGTCTTGATGATGTATGCTTTCTCTAGCAGAACCCGGTTTCGCTGTGTTTTTTTGTTTTTTTTTCCTGCTTTCTTCTGTATCACCGTCCCCTCTTTGGCTGTGGGAGAACCTGTGAATTACAAATTCATTCAATCAGGACAGACGTGTATTAAGTACTTCCTGTATGCCTGGCCCCAGGCAGACAGCCCTGAACAAAAGTGCCAGCCCTCATGGAGCCTCCATTCTAGGAAGGGAGACAGAGAGTAAACAAAGTAAATAAGGAAAATGCATGATTTGTCGCCTGGTGTTAAGTGCCAGGGAGGAAAATCAAGCAGAGAAGGGGAAGAGGGGGTTGGGGAGGTGGGAGTCTGGGGGAGGTCTGCATTGTAAACAGAGGTCGGAACCAGGCTCACAGAAGGGGTGACATTTGAACCAAGACCCAAAGAAGCAGGTATTTGGGAGGAAGTTTTTCTAGGGAATGCATGATTTAAAGGGCCCACTGCAGGACTAAGCCTGGTGCCCGTGGAAGCAACACGCAGTCCAGTGTGGCTTCACTGGAGTGAGAAGGGGGAGGTGAGGTCGGAGAAATAAAGGGAGGGGGCAGGGGTGGGGGTCACAGAGGGGGAAGGGCTTCGTAGTACACAGGGATGTTGCTGGTGAGGATGTTGTTGGTCTTGACCGACAATGAGAAATGCAAGCAAGGAGAAACGGTAGGAGGAGGAGGAGGTGTGAGGGCCTCTTTCTAGTAAACACTTTAACTTTCATTTCTTCTCAATAGCTTCCCTCTGGAATTTGGAGGAAGGGACCAAAAGTTAAATTGTTGTTATTGTTCAGTCGCTAAGTTGTGCCCGACTCTTTGTGACCCCATGGACTACAGTACGCCAGGATCCCCTGCCCTTCACTATCTCCTGGGTTTGCTCAAACTCATGTCCATGGAGTTGGTGATGCTATCTAGCCATCTCATGGTCTGCGGTCCCCTTCTCCTCTTGCCCTCGATCTTTCTCAGCATCAGGGTCTTTTCCAATGAGTCAGCTCTTCGCATCAGGTGGCCAAAGTATTGGAACTTCGGCTTCAGCATCTGTACTTCCAATTGATACTCAGGGCTGATTTTCTTTAGGACATGGATTAGGATGAGAGAGAGCCTGGTGGCTGGCTTGAAGAGGGTGACAGAGGTGAAGGTGATGAGCCGTGGTCACACGTGGGAGTGTTGTGAAAATAAAACCCATGACATTTGTATAGTCCAACTCTCATCCATACATAACTACTGGAAAAACCGTAGCAGTCATGTATGGATGTGAGAGTTGGACTATAAAGAAAGCTGAGCACCAAAGAATTGATGCTTTTGAACTGAGAAAGACTCAGTTCAAGGAGAAGATTCTTGAGAGTCCCTTGGACTGCAAGGAGATCCAACCAGTCCATCCTAAAGGAGATCAGTCCCGGGTGTTCATTGGAAGGACTGATGCTGAAGCTGAAACTCCAATCCTTTGGCCACCTGATGTAAAGAAGTGACTCACTAGAAAAGACCCTGATGCTGGGAAAGATTGAGTTTGGGAGGAAAAGGGACGACAGAGGATGAGATGGTTGGATGGCATCACCGACTCAATGGACATGAGCTCGAGTCAACTCTGGGAGTTGGTGATGGACAGGGAGGCCTGCGTGCTGCAGTCCATGGGGTCGCAAAGGGTCGGACATGACTGAGCGATCGAACTGAACGGAGCTGACATTTGCTGAGGGACTGGATATGAGACTCAGGGAGGAGGAAAGCGGAGGACGACTCTTAAATTTGGGGTGAATTCGGGTGAAGCCCTAGGAATGCAGTAGGGCAGGGTGTGTGAGTGTGTGTGTGCACGCGCTGAGCCCAGTGTCAGTCCGAGATCCTTTCAGACAGCCTGGTGGAGAAGAAGGGGGTTGGTCACAGGACTCTGGATTTAGGGAAGTGAGCCAAACTGGAGGAAATGCTTTGGCTTCCTCCATGATAAGGGCAGTTGCATTTTTGGCATTCTGGAGTGACATCTCCCAAGTGTCGTGATGATGCCAGTATTGACTGAAGGGGTGAGAGCTAAAATTTACCAGGTGCTTCTAAGTGCCAGGCTCTGGGCTGACTGCTCTGTGTGCATCATCTTGCTGAATCCTCACGCTTCCTCAATACCCCAATTTTATAGATGGAGGAGACTGGGGGACGGGGAGACAGCAAGTCACGACTCACTTTCAGACAGGGAGTTCACGGCTAGGTGCTGCACGCGGTCCACCCTCCAGAGCCAGGCTAAGTTGCCTCCACACCCCAGCCTGTGTCGGAGGGGACCCCGCCTTCCTCAGCCTTGAGCTGTGAAAAGATCACGGTGGACATGAACTCTGGGGACTATGAGTTCGAGTCCTGCCTCTACGATTAACTGACAGCTTTCTTTGGGGAGAATCAATGGGTAGCATTCAGAGAACTGTCTTCCAGGCAATGTTTCTTCGTGCCTGCTGTCTTCACTTTCCTTCTCCAGTCACCAGCCGGCTCTGCCAGCCTAACTCCCTCCAGCCAACTTTCATTTCCTGGCCATGCCAGCCTGATTACTTCTAATTGTCTTTGACTGCTTCCAGCTGGGTCTCCTAGCTGGCGTTCTGTGGGAGCACACAGACTGTCTCCCAGCCATATGGTGGGAGGAGATGGAGAAGGAGACGACAGGGAGGAAGGAAGCAGCTGGTACAAGTCAACTGAGAAAGCTTTTCATGCCTTTCTAGCCCACTGTCGTTGGCAAATTTTTTTAAAGGGTTAATGCATCTAAGTTAGAGACTTGTCCATCTCTGACAAGACAGTTATATTTGTTGACCACTCATAGGCAACCAATGTTTTAGAAAGCTGTTAGAAATGTTTTCCCCCAGGACAGAGGGGTATCTTGCTGTCTGGAGCAACGAAGCTCTGCTCATGTGAGAATCCGTGAACAATTGCTTTCACTTATGCAATAAATACGTACCTAAGAATGGCCATGTTTCAGGCACTGTGCTAGGTGCTCTAGGGCAAATATCAATAACATATAAAATAAGGGAGCTCCCATTTGCAAAGAGTCTAAAAGAGAAGCAAGACATTCAATAGAAAGTAACATAGGACTTTGGAGGGCTTCCCCGGAGGCTCAGTGGTAAAGAATACACCTGACACAGGTTCGATCCCTGGGTTGGGAAGATCCTCTGGAGAAGGAAATGGCAACTCATTCCAGTATTCTTGCCTGGGAAATCCCATGGACAGGAGAGCCTGGTGGGCTACAGTCCATGGCGTTGCAAAAGAGTCAGACATAACTTAGTGACTAGAAAACAACAACAATACAGGACTTAAGAAGAATGAGTGCTATGGAATAAGAGAGGAGGAGCAATTAGCCTCTTGCAGCTCATTGATGGTTGGGGGCTTCGTGGGGAAGGGAAAGTCTGTGTTGGTTAGAAATGGGGTCGGGCAGCTGCCTGGGCAAGTTCATGGCAGAGGCAAAGGTGCAGAGGTGAGGAACCCCCATCCGGATGAAGACAGCTGAAATGTAGGGCCCAGGGAGGTCCCACAGGCGGATAAGAAATAGAGTTTGAGATAGTCAGTAGAGAATCTTCAGTGCTGGACTCTGCTTTCAACCAGGTGTTTTCTGCATTTCTGTCTCATATGAGGGCAGTCCATTGTTTTGGGTACTCATCTGTCCTACATAACGGGATTTCTAGGGTTATTCCTTATTAAACAAGGCCATTTCAAAGAACAGGACCTGTAGTTCAAACACCAGTTACTAAGCCCAGGAAGGGTAGGATCTGGACTACTCTTCGGCATCCATCCCAGCTGATGGGATGATGTAGCAGTTAACTTGAATCAAACCCAGGTATCAGGCTTGAAAAAGATTTAACGGGCTTGGATTTTCTCTCTTTTTCACTCCTTTCCTGACCTCCACCCCAAGAGGATAATTAAAAGGAAAGAAATCTCTATTTCATTGTAAATGTTTTCCACAATATTTGGAAGAATCAGCTAGCTTTTTTTTTTTTTTAGGCCATAAAGACACTTTGATGAACTGTCTCTGACATTTGCCTTACATTATAAGAAAGTAATTTCTACATTTTCATACAGAGCTAATTATTCAAAAATTTAAAGAAAGTTAGAGTCCCTTGGACAGCAAGGAGAGCAAACCAGTCAATCCTAAAGGAAATCAACCCTAAATATTCATTGGAAGGGCTGATGCTGAAGCTGAAGCTCCAATACTTTGGCCACCTGATGTGAAGAGCCAACTCATTGGAAAAGACCCTGATGCTGGGAAAGGCAGGAGAAGGGGGCAGCAGAGGATGAGATGGTTGGATGGCATCCGTGACTCAATGGACAAGAGTCTGAGCAAACTCCGGGAGATTGTGAAGGACAGGGAAACCTAGTGTGCTGCAGTACCTGGAGCGGCAAAGAGTCAGACAGGACTTGGCGACTGAAGAGCAATACTCTACTAATACATATGCTATTAATTGGGGAAACTCTAAAACCTGTCTCTGAAAGAAGAGGCAGAATGGTTTTGATCCCAAAGTGAGCTCCGTATTTGTCATCCATGAGATGTTTGTTGAACATTCACTCTTCAGGCACGATGCTGATCATACAGCCTCTCTCTCCCCCGCCTTCCATTGTCCTAATACTTGATTATTGAATCTGAGACATTATTGTGACTACATTGGTCTTGCAAATATTATGGGAGTGGAGAGGTGGTAAAGAAGCCCTTTAAGCACAGCAAGAAAAACATTTTTAAAGTGTATTTTTAATATTGGGAAAAGGGAACGACGAGAAGGCTGATGGAAAACAACCTCAGTCATAACCCGTGAGTAGCTGATTATAGCATTTTTGAAATGAGATCTACTTAAAATAGGCGTTTCTCTGGGTCAGAAAGCCCCGGAGACACTGGATTAATGACTGCCTAGCATCCCTTTCTCATCCTGCCCCGCCCCAATCTCAGAGCACTGACGTGGATCGTGCCATAATTGTTTACCAAGGAATTAGCAATGAAAGGAACTTGGTTAGGACCGAATCCTGCCTTTCAGCTCTGATGCTGTAACTCTGACGGGGGGCGGGGTGGTGGTTAAGTATGCATTAAACGCTGGCGCCTTTTATCTGGCTGCTCAACAGGTTGCATTTTGTAATACAAAAGGGGGGTATCTCCCCCTACCACCCCTCCCCTCCCCACCCCCGCCTCCCTGCCCTCATTTTTTGCTTTGAGAAGACTTTGGGGATCCCGGAGACATCAGAGTGGTCAGGGCGGCTGCACTTATTCATCAGGGATGAGCAGGGTCCCGGCGCCTCAGAACAAAAGCCTCCAGGAGCAGGGAGCGCTGGTCCACCGCGTCCTGCAATCACCGGCATCTTTTCAATGGAAAGCAGCGAAGGTGTAATGTACTAGCAGAGGGAGCAAACGCCCTGATTCCTACGTTGCTGTTGCTACTGTTATTGTTGCGGCTGCTCCTCCTCCAACACCGCGTGCCCGCCTGGTGTGAGCCCAGGCTTTCGCCAGCCACTCCATTCTTCCATCCATCCACCCATCCCTCTATCCATCCATCCATCCATCTATCCATTCATCCGGGGTCCAGAGGGTCCTACTGTGTGCGGGGCCCGGGGCTGGACACCGAGCACTTAAACCACAGTACACGGGCTTCGAGAGCGCCTCCTTCCCTTCCTCCTGCCCCAGGTGGGTGCGGCTGCTGGTGGCGGATTTCTTCGCTGAAAGGTCCAGAAAGCCCAAGCCTAGAAGCCGGGCGAGAGGCACAGGCGGAGGCGGCCCGACTTGGGCGGCCCGGGAGCGCGCGTCTCAGAGGCCGCGCGGGGTCCCCCCCAGTCTGGAGCTCAGGTGGCCCCGCCGCCCCCCTCCCAGGGCCCTCCCCTCTCCGGCGAGGGTCGAGTTTGGCTGTTGCGCGCGGGGAAGGAGGGGCTACGAGGGATTTGAAAGTGCACACGCTGCGGAGTGGAGCTCGCATCTGTTCCCGCCGCCCGCGACCGGATTAAATTTCTGCAAATTCAAACTGAATGGGGCTTTCTTCTGCTGCCTTCCAGAGGGCGCCTGCAGCCTGCCGCGCGCGCCGGCTCTCGGGCGGGAGCGGCCGCCCGGCGCGCAGCTAGGAACCAGCGAGCCGGACCCGCGTCCGTGCGGGCCAGCCGGCGGCGGCGAGGGCGGAGGCGGCCGAGGCGCCCCGGGCTCCGGGACCAGGCATCTCGGCTCCGGGACCCGGCGCCGGATCGCGCCTCTAGCCTCCCCAAAGCCCCTCCACGGCCGGCGCGCTCCCCGCGCACCCGAGCCGGGAGACGGTCACTAGCCGCCCGGACGGGACTCGGGGCAGGGTCTCCGCAAGCCTCCGAAGAACTTCTTGGGGGTGGGGGGCGGGTCCCCGGTGCCCCGTGGCCCCGGCGGCCGCTATTGTCTGCGCGCGGCGCTCGGCGGCGGCCCGTCGGCGCCGAGGACGCGGCCAGGCCGGCGGCCGCCTGCGAAGGAAGTTTCCTGCCGGCCTGGGTGAGCGGCGTGCCCAGAGAGCGGCTCCGCGACTTCCAGCACCACAAGCGCGTAGGCAACTACCTCATCGGCAGCAGGAAGCTGGGCGAGGGCTCCTTCGCCAAGGTGCGCGAGGGGCTGCACGTGCTGACCGGAGAGAAGGTGAGCCGCCCGGGGCGCTGGCCCTGGACCCGCGCCCCCCACCCGGGACGGGAGATCGGGGCGGGAGGGGCGGCGGGGACCCTCCGGGCAGCCTTGTGCTGCGAGTCCGGCCGCGGAGCCCTGGCCCCGCACCTCCCCGCTCCGCCTGCTTTTCCTCTCGGGTTGAACGCGGGGTCGAGCCAAACGCGCGCGCCAGCTCTCGCAGACCAGGATACTGGCATTTCCCAGCGGGGCGATCTGGGGTCACTTTCCCTGGTTGGGGTGTGGGGGGCTACTGGTTTCCCCGCGAAGCCGCCGGCAGCTTTTTTGTATCTCGAAGGGCGCCGCCTGGCGGACACCAGCGCGGGGTTGGGGTGCAGCGGGGGGACTCTGCTCTCCGTCCGATAGGGGCGGCAAGATCAGTGGAGAAGCTGGACCCGGGACTGGAGTGCGTGGGCCCTGAGGTTGAAGGTGGGAGAGCCGATTAACCAGCCCTTGGGGGCCAATTTAGAGCCTGATCCCCCTCGCGGGCTCTGGGGAGGAGGCAGAGGAAGGCCGAGACCCCAGGGACATTGCCACCTGTGGGGTGCGGAGCTAGGGCACGTTTTACCTGGTCACAGGAGGGTTTTCACACGCCGCCCTTCCCGCCACCCACCCTTCCCGCTCCTGCGTCCTGGATGACCCCCACCTCACCCCCAGACATCCCACCCCCTCCTTCCCTCCTCACTCCCGCCGCTGGGTGGGAGCCACTGGCACTGATACCTCCAGACTTCAGATGTTGGGAGAGGCCTTCTCATCTTCTAGAAGCGAGGAAAGCAAAGGAAGACCTGCCCCCGCCCCACACACCTGGAGGGGCACCCCCTCCAGCCCCGTGAAAAGTTAGCGGGGTGAGCCCGTGTCAGGCAAGGCCCTGCTAGACCTCAGCTGTTCACTTATATCTGTAAGAAGAAACTCAACATAGGATGACTTACTTTTGAGATGCTGCGCAAGCTAGGCTGGGAGTTACCCTACGTTTGGAGCCACTTCAGGCTAGAGCTTCATGGTCATCTCATACTCAATGCTTCCCCCACCCCCACCCCCAGGCTGGGGCTTGCTCAGCCCAGGTCCGGTGGGGAGCAGCCCCCTTTGGTGGCCCATTCAGAGAGAGAGACGCCAGCAGTTTGGGAAAGGCAGGGAGGCTCCAAGCTTCCCACCTGCCCAGCCACCCTCTGCCCTGGGGTCCTTTGCCAGCCTGGGGGGCCCGGCCGCTCTGCTGTGGGCCCTCTGACCCCAGAGCGAGCTCCCTGCCCCTCTGGTCCCCAGCTTCTCTTGGCTTTAATCTTCCTCCCCAGGTCACTAGTGTGAGCTGGAGCCCCTGGCATGTGACATGTCCCTGGCATGGTCTTCATCGGCCTTGTCGCTTGTTCCCTTCCTCCAGCCTCTCCGGGTGGGGTGCCCTTTGTTTCGGGTAAGTGGGGTTAGCAGTGCGTAGTTTTCAAAGTGCCTCTGGCTTGAATTTCCATGCACAAGGGGGAGTGTTGGGGAGAGGAACTCGCTGAATGGAGGAGCTCTTTCAAGAAGAAAAACCCTCCAAACCTCCTTCTAGTCCAAAGTGAGCGGCAGCGCCGTTTCCTCCTGGGTTGGCAGTAGGCTGGGAACTTAACCCGTCGCGTCTGGGCGAAGGCGGGGATGCCCGCGGGTCCGGCTAGCTAATTACAGCGCGCTCACTTCCCCGCGCCTGGCACGGGTGGTAGAACTTTCTTTTCACTCGAAATGTAGAGGAGTCAGTCTGGTTAGGTCCGTTTCCTCTTTGAAACTTAGCAGAAAGAGACGAGGTGCTCTGCTCACAGCATAATGGGCAACGTTTAGGCGCGCGCGCTCCCCCTGCCCGCCGCTCAGCTTGTTCGGGCCGTCTTCCTCTCTTGCGTGGCTCGGCTCCTCGCCGCTGCCCTTTCGCTCTTAACGTCAGGGGGTGAGGTTTGGCTGAACTGCCCGGGGCTGTACTCCGAGCTCAGCCCCTAGCCGGGTGCTGAGGTTCTGGAGCTCAGGGCTGGGCCCCCAGGCACTCTGGAATGCGAGGAATTCCTGCCCGGATGGGGGCCAGTGAGGATTCCACCCCCCGCACCCCTCACGGGCTCACGCCCGTTTATCTCATCTTGTCTTTTTCAAACGCTGCATCTCACTTTCTCTCCGCAAGGGGAGGACCAATTAATTGGACGTAAAATTATTGCGCTGGACTAACTGATTGAATCTAATTAAGGAGGGTGGATCTTAGAGTGGGGGAGGAGACTGGGAGATATTTCTGATGTGTGCCCTACTTCAGCCCGGAGAATCAGGGGCTCCGGGACTGACTGCAAGCCTCCTGAGAAGTCTGGATTTTAGTTCACTTAATGGCGAGCTTTAAAGAAACGATGGGTATTCATAGCTTGTATCTCACAGATCCAATAACGTCTTAACGCTTAACTAATAGATTTGGGTTTTTGGCAGATTGCACTCCAGTATTCTTGCCTGGAGAATCCCAGGGACGGGGGAGCCTGGTGGGCTGCGGTCTGTGGGGTCGCATTAAGAGTAGGACACGACTGAAGCGACTTAGCAGCAGCAGCAGAGACTAAAGTGTGTGTGTGTGTGTGTGTGTATGTGTACATGACTCTACCTAGGAAGGACTGCTGAGTTGATGAGTTCCCAGCCTCACTCATGTGCTGGTTACTGTCTTACTAAGAACAAAACAAAGGTGAAATCAACCTCACACAATTTGCAGCCTTCCTGGTCTCTTTAAAAGGTGACCTATTAACAGAGATTTCACCCAGAGAGTGGTTACTCCTGAGAGCCAAGCCAGGGGACACCTGGAGGTGACAGGACCTGGAGGAAGGGAAATGAAATGTCCCCAGAGTGGGTGCCATCCTCCATGGCGTGCTGGGAATTACTGTCTGAATCAGGTTGACAAAATGAGATTCTTTTTCCTGACTTTCATTCAATCCTCTCATCAAGAGGCACCTTTTCCCATCACTGCCTGCAGGACAGTATTTCTGACACCCCCCCCACCCCCCCTCCCCACCCAAGCCGGCTTTTCTTTTGCATACCTCTTCCAAAGTTGTTTGAAAGTCACTAGAATCACGTTGGCCCTTTTACTGCTTGAAAAAAACCGATGGCTCTGGGCAGGACCTAATTTTGTCCTCCAGGAGCTTTCAGTTGGTACAGCCTCCCTTAATGTGGCTTTAAAAATAAATCATTCACTAGATCATGTGAAACTCTTAACCGGCACATTCACAGTCTTGTCTTTGACTAAGTTGATGATTAGACGAGGAGAAAAAATGATGACAGGATCAGACTTTGAAAAGGATTCTCAGTCGCTTTGAGACAAAGAATGAAGTTGCTCTGCAGGAGTATGAAGTGATAACTTGGAAAGACCTAGAGGGGAGGTGTGCTCACAGCCTCTGATACTGGTCCCCAATACTGGGCAATGCAGAGTCTCTGGCACTTGATAGGTTATTGTAGTTATTTTTTCAAAAGTATTTCTTTCTTTCTTTATGGCTGCGTGGGCTGCTCTTTGTTGGCGCACGGACTTCTCATTGCAGTGGCTTCTCTCGCTGCGGAGCATGGGCCCCAGGTGCACAGCCTTCAGTCGTCACAACGCAGGAGGGTGGTAGTGGAGGCATGGGCTCCAGGGCGTGGGCTCAGCGGTTGAGCATCACAGGCTCCGTTGCCTAGCAATTTGCAGCATCTTCCCGGACCAGGCCTCGAACCCGGGTCCCCTGCATTGGCGGGTGGATCCTTAACTGCTGGACCATCAGGAAAGCCCAAGGTTATCACGTTTAAAACATGAAGAAAGTATAGTTGGAGAGGCTGACAGGGATGAACGTAGGTGCCTTCAGGTATAGAGCTGTTTTCACCAACAGGCAAAACTGCAGGAAGGGGAAAATAGTTATTGCCGCAGTTACTTATTTTTGGTGATTAAGTCTCTGTGAAATTAGGTACGTAAAATGATTGGTTAAGATGCTTAAATTCCTTGTTCTAACCCTTAGTTGTTTTTTTTTTAAAGCCTGTTAATCATTTTCATTGGAGCTATTTTGGGGCTCAAAATAAGGGTTGCCTGCTTAGTAAGTTTCCAATAATTGTGCCCGAGCATGACAGCGCCAGGTACCTGGAGTGAAGGAGTTACTAAAAATAGAATTTACTATGTTTTTCAGAGCAGGAACTATGACTAATTTTAGAGGTGGCCTTTTGGCAGATCCGTTTTTAGCAAGTATTTCGGAGACAAACAGGTGCTAAATCCTGTAATTTTTTTTTTTTTTAAGTGCTAGAAATTTAGGGGTAATAGCTCTGAGGCACAAGAAATGCTTAGGGAACTGGATACTCCTATTAACCCTCAACAGGGATTTCTTGGCAAGTGAGAGGCGTTGGGCAAAAGGCACCTGCTCCAGGAGCCGCGTGTGACAAGCTGTGCCTGTAATTTCGGAGATTGCGTGCTGCAGTCGGGAGGCACGGTCTTTTTTGAACTTCCTACCCTGCCTCATCTTTTTGAAGTCCCTGTGAATGATGGAAATTGGCACGTAGGGCTCGCTTCTCAGTGTTCACTGATCCTCAAGTCCCAAGGACTTCAAAGGGCGCTTTGAGTCAGCACAACAGTGCTGAACCGTGCCCATGAAGAGGAACACAACCCCAAATTTTCTCTGCGGGTGTGTGGAGGCGCTGCTACAGGCTGGGCTCAACTACAGCAGTGTGCACGCTGGAGGCTGTCCCAGGGCCACGAGGCGGTCATCCATGCCCCGGGTTCTCCTCCCGGGAGGTGTGGGGAGTGGCCCCTGTTGTCTGCCCTGAGAGGGGGCACGCTGGGTGTCCTCTGTGAAAAGGTGGGCTGGGCACGAAGTATCATTTATCTCGGGCTATACACCCCATCTTGATTATTCATGGTAACCAAGCAACCTGCTTGCTCTCCTGGCTAATTGAAACCTATAGATAATCCCCGAGCCTTATTTTTAGCAAACTGGTGAAACCTCTTCCCCCACTCAGCCTGGGCCCTCGCCGCTTTCAAGTGCTGACCT